TCATCTCCATCTAGAGTTATGCCATCATTTGTACTCTTTGTTATTTTAGAGCTGTGCCATCATTTGAACACCTCATCGATTCGTAATCGATCTCATTTTGATGGACTGCAACTTCCTCTTTTAGAGTCATTGTATTATACCCGGTTCGCTTCCTGTTTTGATGTTCGCATTTTGCTCTTTTCTCTTGTCAACTCGCTTGCCACAGCTTCATCTCGCCTTATGCTTTGGTAGCCTCATGCTCAAGCCCTCTTGGCTTCGCCTCAAGCCTTCTCCGCTTGTCCTACATATCGACACCTAACTTCTTTCGGTCGTCTCACTTTTGCTCATATGGTCCCATGGGGAAGTGTCTCGCATGCTCCTCTTGCCTAAATAGTCCTGCAAGCACAAAATAATCGACAAGTCTCTTAGCCCACGGCCTGAAATATCAGCTGTAGCCTGATATTCCTTCCGCCGAGCTTAATTCTTTCTCCGCATTGCTCACGGCCTAAAATACCAGCTGCAGTCTGGTATTCCTTCCGTCGAGCACCTACACATCTCTATCGGACATTTGTGAGTGGCTCCCAACTCTTTGGCAAGCTCACCCCACAACCATCGCATTTCCAACAACTGACTCATTCGGTGTTCTGCGCCCCCTTATCTCAAAGTGTAGGGACAAGTCTCATCGGATGTACCATAGGCAATCTCTGCCATGTTTCGTAAGTCTAGCTCAAATATTCGGCCGCATCCCATATTTTCAATTCCCGCAGGCAACTTTTTACATTAAGGCTCATCTCTGCGTCTGGGGTGCACTCTTGCCCCCACTGCTTCTTACTGGGCGCCTCTATGCGCATCCAGTAGCTTGCTCACATCTGTTTTAAGCCCACATATCCCCTTGCTTCGGGATCATTATATGTTCTCAATTCAACCGGCTTAATATTTCTTATTTTCCGTACAACTGTGCGGACACTAAGCATCCATTTATTATGCTTTAGCTCGAATGGTGCCTCTTGCCATTATCCCTTTATCAAGGTCAAGCCACTCTGCTTGCCACTCTTTAGCCGGCAATGTTCATCTTAACCATGCCATCTCAACTTCTTGAGTGCATGCTTTCGTATGGGTCCATGCCTTATGCATACCAAGTCTACCCGTAACTGATTCTCTATTGTTCCCATCTATTGCCCATGCCTCAGCTGGGTCTATGTCATAGCATCTGTGTCTCAACTGCGCATACTGCCCCTTTTCTCTAGGCATGCTATGCATTCCCATTGAGATATGTCAACAGCTCGCATCTCGGCATCCATTCTGCTCATTGATACCACCCCTTACAACTGTGCCCGAAGGAGTGTACTACTTGGGGCGACATGATGCCACCTATCGGATGCTGCCATCCATAGCCCGCATCATTTACACGCCTCTATTATCATAATCCGGAATGTATATCTCAGCCAAAATAGCTTACATGCAAGTTTTTAGCAACAGCCAATCAACTTTAGCAACAACCCGTCATTGGGCTCTGATACCAAATGTCACGGTGCCAGAATCTCGGAGCCTTTGGCACGCGTGTGGCGCCTACTCTAAACATAGGTGAAACTATTCAAATATTATCCCTTGCCTTGAGGCAACTTGATATGCGCCCGAAATAGGAAGTGCATATTCGAGCTGAGGGTGCTGAATCTTATGACACTACACAAAGAACCGATCGGTAGTGGTCTTTGTACAATTCAAATTATGAGTTTTATAATGTTTTGCTTAATAGTGAGTTACCGTCTTGCCTGTATGGCTCCATTTTGCATGCCCGCTATCTCATTTCTTTACACTATCGTCAAAAATCGATTGAGAGTTATCAGACTCTAAATCTAGAGAAACTAAGATATTATTGGGCGTAAAAAGCCTATACTATATGGGGGCATATCATGCTAGCTTACGATATTTTATATTGCATTAACAAGCGCAATTGAACTCAACTTTAGACGAAGATAACCACGTATCAATTGGGGTTTTGTTTATGAAATGGAGCTTTGCTCCTGATATTAGAATGTTTTCAGAGTGATATGGGCTATTCAGTATACAGTTATTTTCTGACGTCCTCTATTGAGTCTAGAGCTCCACTGTTGTGTTTCCCGCATGTAGGATAACGTTTAGCTTTATATGCGAAATGGAATACGTAGCCCTAGCCGATGCCCCGCTCATTTCCGAAGGGCTTTGCCTACTATCCGACTGTGGACCTCATCTAGCAATGCATATCCGAAGGGTCCCCCTTCGCACCTACCTGTGTATGGCTCAATGCCTTCCGGGCATCCGGGCCGGCATAGTCCGCCTCATATGGAAAACCTTCATCGCAGGAGCAAATGCGCACTAAAATATGGCCCTCCCGCCATGTCACGGTGCCAGAATCTCGGAGCCTTTGGCACGCGTGTGGCGCCTAGACTTAGCTCATAATCTAGGCCAGCCATGCTCATCCGAAGGGCCTTTGCCTACTATCCGACTGTGGGACTCATCTAGCAATGCATATCCGAAGGGTCTCGCACTACCGTGTATGGGCTCAATGCCTTCGGGCATCCCGGGCGGCATAGTCCGCCTATATGGAAACCTTCATCGCAGGAGCAATGCGCACTATAGGCTCCTCGGCCCTATAGTGTCCATAGAGCTCCTTCCCTATGGAGACATCAGTCCCTCTTGCTAGACATGATGCCCGCACCTAGCTCACTAGGGCCGGGCTCCGCATCCCGGCCCCGGGGCAGCGGAGAGCATTACGCCGGGTCTCCCCTCTCATATTCTCGGTCCATATGCCATACAATATGCTATTCTTGCCTCCAATAGCCTTACTTCATCCATAGGGTTGCCATGGTGTGGAGCCATGGGTAGGGATGCTGGACTCACACCCCTACAAGATCATACGTCTCTTGGTGAAAGGTTTCAAAGGATATTTAAGAAAATACATCTTAGCATTGTAATTTTTTCATCATATCTCCATGAGATAAAATTTTGTAATGTATTTCATAATCATTTTATTATATAATTTTTAAATGGGTTCGTGTCATAAACGGGTTACCTATTTATAATATGAATATAAACGTGTTGTGTCATGGGTTAACATGCAGATTAGACGAGTGACTCATTTATTTAAGGGTAGACATGAATACTCCAACTAAAATCCCATTTAAACTTTGTTGTTGTATTACTTTTTTTTTTTTATTATTATTTTAGTTGTGAATCTTAAAGAATCTATGCATTTTATGTATAAAAATTTACTTTTAAATATACTTTAAGTTCAATTGGTTGAAACTTAAAAATATCATAAGCAAGTTAAGTGGGTCATATATATGTTAACATAATTCACTTAACCTGTTTATAATATTAGGCGGATTACTAGACGAGTCAACACGACCCATTCAACCTGTTTATGATATTAGACAATTACATGTGTCGTGTTCGTGTCACTTGTCTAATTTCCGTGTCGTATTCGTATTGACAAATTTGACACAATTATTAAATGGATCGTGTTTGTGTTGATCCTAATCGTGTTGCGTGTTAGGTGAATCCGTGTCCAACCTGAGCCGCCAACCCATTTTGACATCCCTAACAATTTTGTTATTTTTAAATTATGTTATAAAAGATTCTTTCATCTTTTAATATTATTCAGCACATCTTGCGGATTCTATCACTAATTTTATTAAAGACACTATCAAAAATCTTATTATTTCTCTCCATCTCTACATCTATAGATAATAGATTTTACGGGTTAAGTTTATTATCAGGATTTAAACTAACTCCAATTCTAGTGCTAGTTTAACTAGATTTCGGATAGTGACAATTATAATATTATTGATTTATCTTTATAGATAAGAGTTCAAAATTTTATATTTTCCATTTTATATTGAATTAAATAAATCCCACTTTAACTAGTCATATTTTAATTTTTTTTTCTCATAAAATAACATAACCTTTTTTATCCACCTAAATGGTCAAATTGTGTTGACAGACTTGTCAAGGTCAAACATTAGGCACTTCTCTTGCCATGAATCGAGGTTCGGTTTCAAACTGAAAATTAAACCGAAATTGAATTAGTCAAAATCTATTTGAAATCAAACTGTAATCAATGGTTTAAGATTTTAAACCATAACCGAAACTGGATATTAAGATTCATCTGCGGTTCCTTATATTTAAAAATTAAAACCGTCGATTTTAGTTAGAGACTAGGGTTCCGGCTTGAAACCGTTAAAAAAAATTACACATGATTTTAGTTTTCACTATTAAGTGCAATAATTCTACCGCCATCTTAAAATCTTTTAATATAAAAACAACTTGTAAATTTGTAAGTGGAAAAGAGGAAAAAATAAAAAAAAATTGCTCCTCATTCAAATATTTTTAATTTAAATCTTTTACAACTTTTAATATATATTTTTAATAAATTTTAAAATTATGTATTTACTTTTTAGTATTTTTAATTTAATACTATATTTTATTATTAATTTTCTTATTTAGCTATAAAACTAATAAATATTAAAAGAAAACTCGAAAAAAAGTTATCTAATTCCGGTTTTAAACCGGAAACCGGAACAATTAAAACCGGAAACCGGAACAATTAAAAAGTGGAATCTCCATGCATCGCACCTTGCATCTCTGTCATTGGCTACGATTGGAATCTCCTTGTGCTTTCTCAGCTTTTTTAAAGGCTTTCTCTCCTCTTCTTGTCGCTTTCGTTCTCAGATTGCCAAAGAAACCCCTTATATTTGCTCTCAATTACATATAACCTACATCCCTAACACTCTCAATTACATAGTAAAATATGAAAAATTCAGACAGTAATGGTGTAATTGACCCTTAAACTTATTTATAATTCTACCCATTAATGGTTTTTCTTCTAATTTACACATTAATGGTTAAATATTGAGTGATAATAACATTTTATTATTTATTTATATAAAAAATCAATTTTTATATTACCTAACCTCTTTCTCTAATTTTTTTTTTTGGTTCCTCTAAAATCTTCACCGAATACTTGATTATGTTAGTGAATTATTTGAGTTGACCGCTACAGTACTTAATTCTGCTTAATTTACTTGTTCTTCAAGCAATTATTATCAGAAATCATAACCATCTTAGGAATCAAAACCCATTTTTCAATTTTTCAAAAAGAAAAAGAAAGAAGATGGCTGTAGAGTCTTTTGCTTTCTGTATTGCTGAGAAAGTATTGGAAAAGGTAGCTTCAAATGCTTACAAAGAGATTTGTTGTGCATTGGGTTATGAAGGAGAACTAAAAAAGCTTGAAGATATTTTATCAACTATAAAAGCTGTGCTATTAGATGCAGAGGAGAAGCAGAGAACGAATCGCCAGCTGCGTATTTGGCTGGCTAAGCTTAAAGATGCTCTTTATGATGCTGAGGATGTTTTTGATGAATTTGAGTGTGAAACTAAGAAAAGGCAAGTGCTTAAATTATATGGAAGCACCATTAAAAAGGTACATCTCTTAATTAATTTTCACTCTTCCTATTTGTATTTATTTCATTTGCAATTTTTTTTTTTTTTTTTTTTTTTAGGCAAGTGCTTAAATATATGGATAGCACCATTAAAAAAGGTATCATCCTTAAATTTAATTTTTCACTTCTCCTATTTGTATTTATTTCATTTTGCAATTTTTTTTTTTATTTTTTTTTTTTGAGTTTGGGTAGAGTTAAAAATTTGGCCTGTGTATGATCTGAATGCAGTCAAAACTGATAAATAATTTTCATTTTCAATCTGCCGAGTATACATTTGCAATTTTTTTTTTTTTTTTTTTTTTGAGTTGGAGTTAAAATTTGGCCTTTATATCTATCATCAAACTGATAAAAATTTCATTTTCATCTGCCGAGATACCCAATTGAATCCATACAGGTCTATTAATTCATCTATTATCCAGTCCGTTCATGTAATTATAAATGTGTCTCTATATTTCGTCCAGGATAATATTTAGATAAAACCCATGTAACGTAGTAATTTTTAATTTTGAATCTCTAACCTTACAGATGAAATTTCCTTAAGATTTCATTAATTTGATCACCCGTACTTAGACTATGGTTCTCATTTTGCTTAATCAAACTAGCAAGTCTGTTCCGAATTCATGCCTCTAGCTTCTAGCTAGCATTGTAAGCCATACTTCTATACATTCAATAACCAGTTATTAGGTTACTTTCATGACCAAGTCAATATGGTCGATGTCGAATAACTTTTTTTGCAATAGAATTAAATTGTGCAATTCATTAAAAGATTGAATACTAAGAAGAAAAAAAATGAAGTGATTGAGAAAGTAAACTCTATAATAAGGAATTCAAATTTGACTTCATAAAATCTGTAAATCATATTACTTTCTGTACCTAAAATTTATATTTACATGTTTGGATTTCAGGTGGGTCACTTTTTTTCATCCTCTAATCCACTTGCATTTCGTTTTAAAATGGGTTATAAAATAAAGGAAATAAGAGAAAGATTAGATGAGATTGCAAGTCATAAATCTAAATTTCATCTCAATGAACAAGATGAAAACAAATATTTTGTACATAGGACAAGGGATATGACCCACTCTTATGTGGAAGCTTCTGATATCCTTGGAAGAGATGGAGATAAAGAAAACATTATCAAATTTTTAACAGATGATAGGAAAATGTCTATCATTCCTATCGTGGGACTAGGAGGTTTGGGAAAAACCGCACTCGCTAAATTGGTTTATAATGATGAAAGAGTAGAGAGACAATTTGAACTGAAAATGTGGGTTTGTGTATCAGAAGATTTTGATCTAAAAATATTAGTAGAGAAAATTATCAAATCAGCAACCAGTGGCAAGAGACTTCACGTAGAAAGCTTGAGCAATTTGGAAATGGATCCATTACAAAGAATCTTGCAAGAAACAATTGGTGATAAGAAATATCTACTGGTCTTAGATGATGTTTGGAACGATGATCCCATGAAATGGAATGAACTGAAAGAATTATTGTATATGGGAGCAAATGGAAGTAAAATCTTGGTGACAACTCGTAATAACCAAGTGGCCTCCATTGTAGGAACCGTTCCTGCTTATGAATTATCAGGTCTCTCTCATGATTTGTGCATGACTTTATTCACTAAATTAGCATTTAAAGAAGGGAAAGAGAAGAACTACAGAAGCTTGTTAGAAATAGGGCATGAAATTGTCAAGAAATGTGGAGGGGTTCCCCTAGCTGTGAAGACACTAGCCTCGCTTCTTTTTATGAGAACTGAAGAAAGTTTCTGGAAATTTATTAGAGATAATGAGTTATGGAAATTGGAGCAAAAAGAAAACGATATTTTACCTGCTTTAAGGTTAAGTTATGAGCAATTGCCATCTGAGTTGAAAAGATGTTTTGCTTATTGTTCGCTTTATACAAAAGACCATAGGTATAGTGACATTGAGTTAGTTCAAGTTTGGATGGCACATGGACTTGTTCAATCAATGGATGAAAATGAGGAATTGGAAGATGTGGGTATGGGTTATTTTAAGGAGCTAGCATCCAAGTGTTTTTTCCAAGATTTTGATGAAAAGTTTGGGTTTATTTGGTGTAAAATGCATGATCTATTTCATGATCTTGCATTATCAATCACACAAAATGAATACTCAATAATAACCTCTACCACTAGACATATCTCCAAAAATGTCCGACACTTGTTATTTCCTGACACAGCTTCACTTCCTGAAGACCTTTCTGTGATTTTACATGGCTTATATCGTGTAAGAACAATTGTCTTTATGAGTGAGGAAAAAGATCTTAATGGCAAATTAATGTTGGACTTGAACTCGTCGAGGTTTCCATACTTGAGGATGTTGGATTTAAGTCACTTGACATTAGAGGTTCCATTGCAGAGAATAAGCACTTTAAAGCATTTGAGGTTGTTCCATTTACATGGGAATTCTAGAATTATCAAAGTCCCAAATTCTATATGTAAGTTACAAAATTTACAAGCTCTGTTTCTTTGCCAAGGAATTGAAGAGGTGCCGAATAATATAAGGTACTTGATTAGCCTTAGATTTCTTGAAATAACAACAAAAGAGAAGCAGTTACCGAATAATGGATTAGGGTGCTTGAAATCTCTTCGGTTCTTACTCTTTTTTGGGTGTGAAAATTTAGAATACTTGTTTGAAGACATGCAAGGTCTTCATCATCTTCGTTTCCTACTTATTAATGAATGTAAAAGCTTAATCTCTGTGCCCCGAGCTATGAAATACTTAGTTGCACTCAAGACTCTTTGTATCTGTAATTGTGAAAATCTTGATTTGACAATAGAGGAAGGGAATGCTAACGAAGAGTTGAGTGCTTTTAGCCTTCAAAAATTGATAATAGTCGGGTTGCCAAAACTGGTGAATTTTCCCCATTGGCTTCTTGAAGGATCTAACTATTCTCTGCAACTCTTGCATCTTGAAGATTGTGATAATCTCAGAGAATTGCCTGTATGCTTCCAAAATATAGTGTCTCTTCAAGAATTAAGGATTCAAAATTGCGGCAAATTGAGAGAAAGATGTGAACTTAAAGAAGGTCAAGACTGGTCCGAGATTGCTCATATTCCTGAAGTTATCATTGATGGCAACAACATTCAATCACCACATGACGATAATGATGATTAGGTACAAATTATCTTATCCCTCCATCTAATTTTTATTTGGATTAGAGTTCAAAGCCATTGACTTTTTTTGGTTGTGTTCAATCAGAATTACACATGCTCTTGTTAGTTGCTGCTGTATTGAATGAATGGTCTAAAAGGTTATGGGTTTATGGTGGTGCAGGGTCTGGATTCTATGTGTCTTTAATGATTGGAACAGCTATTTCCAGTCTTGGGCAATGGTTTTACTTCCGATAACCAAAGCTTTTTATTTATTTTCACATTTGGATTTGGGTGGAAGCAAGCAAATGATATTTATTCTCAGAATTCTCATCCTTTTTTTTCCTATTTTATTTGTATATTTTTCTGTGCTTGAATATTCAACTTGTAGTATAAATAAAAGTAATTGTTTGGACCAAAGTTTTTTTCTTAAAAAAGGAGTGAGTATCAAAATAAATAAAGAAAGAAGAGAGATTAGCTTTTCTCGTTTTTTTTTTTTTTTTTTTCATTTTCTTTTGAAAATCTTTAGTCAGTAATTCCTTAAAAAATCAATTGAGAATAACTTAAAAATCAAGAAATTTTTTTATTTTTACATTTATTAGAAATTTAAATAAGTAGATTTGATTTTCCGAGGCATAAACCGGTAAAAACCGGACGGAAACGGCTAAAAACCAGTGAACCAGACCGATTAAAACTGGTTCGATTCAATTTCTGGGTTTTTAACAAATTGTGGGCTCTTTAAAGTTTGTGCCACTTAAAAATTGGGCTCACTGATTTTTTTTTTTTTTTGTTTTTCTACTTATTTATTTCAAAATCCAAAGTTCTAATTCATTAATTAAAACTATTAAATTGCTCGACTTTAAAGCTGAATGTGTAAAAAAAATTATAAATTATGGTAATTAATTAGTTTTTAGTACTAAATTTAGTCATGTTTTATTGTTTTTGTTCAAAATTATTTACGAATTTTTTTATTTTTTTTATAAAAAGTCAAATTTGAGAATGTTTTTTTGTTTGATATCAAAGTTTTTTTTTATCCTATACTTTGAATTTTATTTATAAATGGGATAATTATATTTTTAGTGGCTCAATTTTTCATTTTTTTCTATTTTGGTGTTTGAACGGAAAATAAAAACGATTGAATGCTTGAATATTTTAAAATTTATAATTAAGTGTCTCCAACTAATTTGTCTAATCGAAAATATAATTCTACAATTATAGGACTCGCTTTTTTAACATGTGGCAACCATTGTATAAAAAGCACTTGAATTTGTCAAATAAGTTAAATTTGATTGAACTTTTTTTTTAACCTCCATTTCTTTTTGTCCAACAATCTCCTCTATCCCTTTCCATCAAATCTCCAAGCTCGCCTCAAAAAATTAAAATTAACGAATCTTTTTTATTCTCTCTAAGATGTGGGTCTCATGAACTATTGAAGAACCATAAATTTATCAAACACTAATAGAAATGCAAAAAAATTTTTCAAAGGAAGAAGACGAGAACAACGTATAAATATAAAATTCTCCAAAAATTATCCAAAAAATTAAGAAATACACATAATAACTCATCAAGAACAAAATTGTTATAATAGAAAAATTGACTCCATAAGAACAAAGATCGAAATAGAAAATTGAAAAAAGAACCCATTAAGAATATTAAACTCTAGAAAATTACCAAAAAAAAAGATAAAAATTAAAGAAATGAATAATAATCCATCATGAACCAGAAAACCCATTAAAATCCATCAAGCTTCGACAATAGTGGTCTAAATGCATGCAACTCAATATTTCTCCTTGAAACTAATTTATGCTTGAATACATGCACTTGCCATGATATGGGAGGGTTTAGGTCCATGGATTTTGACATAAGTGACCCTGCAGATTCTTCAAATGGCAATTGTTCCTTGCTAGAGAACCAAAAGTTTCAACTTTATCGAGAATAACATTAGACTTCAAGAGCAATTCGTTTAAAGGTACTACACATATTGTTCGTCTTGACAAGATTTCAATTCCAAATATGGATTCCATATTATCAAACTGAGAAATTAAATCCACAAATTAGAAAAACTAATGATTTTCAAGTTAGACCCAGAGAATAAACCCAAAAATTAAAGAAACTAAAGAAATTAAAGAATCAAATCTAGAAATTATACAGAAAAGATAATAGTACAAACTTGTAAGAATCAATTAATACCTGTCTATCACTTCATAATATCCTTAAAAATGGCTATAGTTATTAGTAGGGTTTTACAATGCAAAGAGGTGTTTAGGAGAGGAAGAAGAAATGAGAAAAGAAAGAAAGAGAGAGAGAAAATGAGAGAGAAGATGCAAGAAAAGAGAAAGAGAAGAGACTTCATGGAATCTTAAAGATCAATATGAAGAAGTCTGATTGTAAAGGAGAGAAGCTTGCTTAATGTGTACCATTGAACAATTATGGATTTTTAGAGCTTAATCCATGTGGCATCCGATTTGTTTCATGATGTGGCTAAGTTGCACGCCACGTCAGCTGACAACTTTGTAAAAATTGGGCTCATGCGTGCATAATTAGTTTTCTAGTTAGCCATATCATCCGAAGACACTTAATTGAAAAATTTTACAAGGCACTGAACTATTATCGTTTTTTGTTGAGACACCAAAATAGAAAAAAAAAAAATGAAAGTTCAGACACTAATAATATAATTATCCCTTTATAAATATATTTAAAAACATTATATATAAAAATCTAGTTGAACCATATTGAACCCCGTTGAACTCTCCGGTTCAATGAACCCTTGCTTTCATTGGTTCACTGACCAGTCCGATTCTCAAAACACTACTAATTAGAGCAACTCCAATGGGATTGTGGATTGTGGTTTACGTGGCATATTAAATAGAAGTTGTCAATAGTGATGCGGCTATAAGTCCATTTCTAGATATTGAATTTTAAAAAGGGTTATCCAATGCATCCTAATTAGAATAGGATTTTAGAATGACGTGCATTATTTTTTAAAAATTATATCTAATTAAAAATAAAACCTATAGTTTCAGCGCCAATAAGAAATAGGTTGAATGCGAGAAGTTTTAGCACGACGAGAAGATGTCGGAAAAGGAAAATAAAATTAATAGGAAAAAAAAGAATTAAATGGCTGAGTCACGTCGTCTAACAAACCCTTTGAAAATAGAGAGTGTTGTTGACGATGTCTACTTTTTTCTTATAAATCAGCTTAACAGACTAAATAAACAATAACATTAGAGAAGATTTTTTTTTTTTAACCTTTCCATTTTTTTTTTGATTTGGCAATTAAATAAGCCTCAATCCACACTCCCATTAGAGTTGCTCTTAAAAGCATCTCCAATGCAACCATGGTTGTGGCTGATATGTCTTAATAAATAAAAGTTGTGAATGGTAATGTGGCTGAATGTGTATTTGTAGATGTTAGATTTTAAAAATGGCTCTCCAATGCATGAAGAAGAAATCAGTTTTAGCGCAAGAAGAAGTTTGAGCGCAAATAAAAGAGAAGGCATAAAAGAATAAGAAAAAATGAAAAAATAGAAAAAAATGCTGAGTCACACTATGTAACTGACCCTCTGAAAATAGAAAGTGTGATGGACAGTGTCTCTTTTTTTTTTTTTTTGACACATTGACTCACAAACTAAATAGACAATAGCATTGAAAAGGATTTTTGTTTTTAACTTTCACATTTTTAGACCTAGAAAAATTAAAGAATTTATAGTTACATTGCAGATGCTCTTAGAGAAATTGCTACAAAGTGGTTTCATAAACATGAGTTATCAAGTAACTGCATAAACTCTTCTTTGTTAAAGTCTGTGGGTCTATAGGCCCATGGAATTTAAACATTCTTCCGTTGAATTACCTCTTTGTTAAAATTTATGGGTGTACAGGCCCATGGACTTTAACATTCTTAGTTGAATTACCATATTTGAGTTCTCTAGAATGGAATTCCCTCCAAATTAAAAATTCTTTCCAAATTTCAGTTTAAAAGAATGTAAAAATCCGAAAGATGTTCCTTGAAAAACTGTATGCGTGCCGTCTTAGAATCTCATCCTAATTCTCCTAATTTTATGGACTTTTCAATTCCTATAATAAAATTTTATTGATTTGATCCATAAGTGAGGCCATGGACCTAATTTATATAAGAATTTTCCAACTTTTATAATCTTTTATCTTCTGATTCTGATGGAGTTTTCAATTCTTAATATCACCTTTTATTATCTAAGTCTTATTTTGACATACAAATCACAAACCCTATGCAGATTCTTTCCCCTTTTTAATTTAGAATCCTTTTCCATTTTTTAACTTGAAATTTTCTTTATGGATTCCCACGAGCATCCACCTTAGCACTATCAAAATGGCCAGTCTTGCACAGCTTGACCTAATTCGATAAGGTCAGTTCCAAAACAAATTGAGCCAAAAAAGCTCGTTAAAAAATATCCCTCTCATGTTCAGGTTTGCCTCAGCCCATAACGAGCTCGCGGACGGGCTCGGTCATGTCGATTTTTTTTTTTTCAAAAAAAATTGCTTTTTTTGTACTTTTTATATTCATTTTGGTTTCAACCAAAACTGGATAATACAATAATTCAAATTTAAAATCAACATTGTTACAATCCGAATTTAAAATCCATAACAATAACAAAATAATTCAAATTTATCGAATGAGCACAAAATGTATAAGTGATTTGATTAGGGGTTAAAATACCACTTTTAAGTCTAATTATTTATCGAACGAGCCAAGATATAAGCTAAAAAGTAGGACAAAAGGCCATTGATGTAGTTGATGAATATTATGAAGGAAAAGGTTGTATCAAAAAATATATTCAGAATATCTCTTGATTTTAATAGATTGTGTTGTGTAAAATCAAATAATTCCCAATTAAATATTGATGAATTATAATAGCAAAGTGGATAGTATGTGGACTAGTCCGGCTCTACCTCAGGGGCTTTGATAAAAAACGTACCGGATAAGGAAAGCTCCTTTTGAAAATGGTCCTCAATTTTCTTATTCAAATCTGAAAAAAATACTGGCAATCCGGAGTCACTCACGAGCTTAAACCTATTTTGATAGTATTAATTCACATACCATATTTTGTACAAAACCAATATTTTTCAAATTTTATGATTGTCCACTGAGATACAATATTTGATGTAAAGAAAGAATATTTTCAGAAATATTTTTTTTTATTTCTTCTACTAATAGGAAGTATTATAGGTCTCAATTGATTCGACAATTAGATGATTGGGGTACCAAACCCTCTCTTATAGGTTTTAACTCGGATCTTTTAACAATTAACCTATGCCTCTATGTGTAATTATCCTCATAGCCAATACTTAGCATCTTCTATAATTTATATTTTGTTTGTGAAATTTTTCATAATATAATTAGAACAATAGGAAGTATTCATTAGCAAAAACAGTAGACTCCAAAA